TTTTAATTCCCTATATATACATAGTCACTGCTATGTACATAAATTGTTTTCTATTCCCCTAAATATGCCATAAAAATACAAGCGTGTTTCCTTAACAACACCAACAGCAAAAATAACAATGGCACACGAATAAACAGCGTAGACAATGCGAATGCGATTGGCAAAGAAAACTGTAAAATTGCGGAAAGTTGTCGCTACAAATAACAAAAATGGCAATAAAGATACGAAAAAATGTGCAGAAACATACATAAACACACATTTCACATACACTCACAAACAAACGCACATAGCGCATAAGAACTACATAACAACAACAGAGTGGAAAGTGACTAGCCGCACAGCAATCCAGTTAACTTTGGCAACATGTCATTATCACGTAATAACTGCAACATGCTACAACAAAAACAATTACAATGTAGCAGCAAGCAGCCGCAGACGCGATTCCGAACAACACAACACAAACACGAAGTTTCTTATTTTTATCTATTTTTGTTTTGTTTTTGCAACAAAAGTGGCAACAACACTAAAAGATTGCAACAAATTTGAACAACAAATGTTACTTTACTTCATCAAATAATGTCGGATTGTTGTTGTTGTAGCGCAGTTAATCGTTGCATGCAGCAGCGCACATCAAGGCTATGTGTGTGTGTGTGCATAATGAACTTGTAGAATGTGAACTTGCAACAATGCAAAGGCCGACAATTTGAATGCGCGCCGCAACAGCAACAATGTCTGTGTGCGTGTGTGTGAGTGAGTGTGTCTGGCTGGCTGCCTCCTTGTTGTTTGGTAATACATGCAGGTAAGATTGCCTCTAACAAATTGTTATGCGCTGCCAGATTGTGTCAAGCTGCTATGGCTTGCAACAACTTACTCGCCGGTTGCTTGTCTGTTGCAGGAAGAAAGCATTCGCTTGTTATAATTTAGAGTCACGTTGTTGAAGTGCCGTTTGATGTTATGAATAATTTTATCATATTATATTTAATTTACTTTAATTCTTTTCACATTTTTCATTGATATTTTGTAATATTTTAAGAAGCTCACACAGAGTCTCACAAATTCTTCACACACCGCATCCAAAAAGCTGCTGAGCGTGGTGTCGGCGGATATTTATAAAACATGTTTGCAAATAAGTTTCGTATGTTACGTGAAAGTTTGAGGTGGCATTGCCGGCTAACAGCTTCTGCAGCGACCACTTTGGGGTAGGTTCGTGTCTTAAGTCTTTCGTTGTTTGGTTTTGTTAGCCGGTTGGTGACATCTTTTAAGTGTCAACAATATTTGTTGTGTTTCTATGCTATCTATTACTGTTTTTTTTTTTTAAGAAATGACTGAGCAGCCCAATATTTTTTTTAACGTTTTTGAAGTAAAAATATGATTTTTGAAATTTGCCGCCTTAAAATATTTAATTTGTTTTAAATTTAGAGTGCGTTTAATTTAATTGTTAAATTTTTAGTCTAGGTAAAGAAATTTAGCTGGATGAATTTTATGTGACCCTTATTTGGAATTTTTACTAATTTTTTTTTTT